TCTCAAGTCACAGGCGACAGGACAAGAGGAAATGGCCTCAAGTTACATCAGGGGAGGTTCAGGCTGGATATTAGGAAAAATTTTTTCACTGAAAGGGTTCTCAGCCATTGGAATGGGCTGCCCAGGGAGGTGGTTGAGGCCCCATCCCTGGAGGTGTTCAAAAGCCGGGTTGATGTAGTGCTGGGAGGTCTGGTTTAGTGATGATGCTCCTTGTTTGTTGTGAGGGTGTCTATTTTTGTCAGTGAGGTTGACGGTTGGACAAGATGATCTTTAAGGTCCCTTCCAACCTAGAAGATTCTGTGATTCTGTGATGTTTCTGTTTTCTCAGTGCTCTGTTTGTTACCAGAGCGAGAGCTGCGCCTCGACTCCCTTCCCCGCGCTCGACGGATCGCCTTCCCCAGCCCGCTCTGCCAACGCATCTGCTCCCAAACACGATGAATCACTCCACTGCTCACTCGTCTTTCGCTTTCAATAGCACATGCCATTTCCATCCCTTTTGAATAAAAATGTATGCAGATTTGCCGAGCAGAAAAAAAATTTAAAAATATAAAAAAATAGAGTTGATCGCAACTCGCTTCTTTACTAGTCTGGAAAGAGCTGCGTGTGGAGAAGAGAGGGGGGACTAGTGTCAAGGGTTTCTAATTGTACATCAGGCCTCGGGGTGTATTTCACAAACTGCTTTCAAGGAGAGAAGAAAATGGAAATGATTTGGAAAATTCACCCCCAAAACTTGCCCAAGGAACCAGCCCTGGCCCAACCCTCACCTGGGGGAGCACCGACGCCTTGAAGCGAGGAGTGAAATGCCGGTAGGAATCCGGGCGGACGGAGCACTGGGGGCTTTTGGTCTCCTTTCTGGGTTCTGCCACACAGAGAAGAAAGCAGTACGAATGCATCAGCTTTCCAGGAGCAAAGGAAAGAAAAAAGGAAGAAAGGAGGAAAACCCATCTCCCCCCATCATCCCCACCAGCCTAAGGGCATCCACGCTGCGTGCCCTGGGCGTCGCTGCGAAAGCGTAAGGCTCACAGCTTGGAAAAGGGTCTTTAAAGAGCAGAGGTGTAGTTTTATGTTGGATTTTTCCAACAAGCACTGCCCAGGGCTGAGCGCCGGCAGCTGCCTGCTCCTGGCAGCTCGCCACCAACTGCTGCAGCTTCGAGGCTCTGCCTCTATTAATAGAGACATCGGGAGCTTTCATTTCAGACAGATTTAATAGAACGTGCCACTTAGAAATGATAATGGCTCCGAGCTGAAGAGGGGCTGCTGGTGTGCCTGGGAGCAGCAGGAGGGAAAGAGCCTGAGCTTCCCTCCATACTGACTTCCCCTGGTAAATCACACCCTGGGGAAGAGCCCCCAGGGACACGTTGCTCCTCTTTGTCCCACAACTCGGAGCACGTGTCCGGGTCTATCTGTGCCACGTTAATAATGATCTTTATTTATTTTTCCAACCAAGATGCCATGCAGGCCTGTGCACTAAGGAGCTGAGCTCTGGATAAGGTGGGAATCCCCCTGATTTACCGTTTGCTGATTCTCCAGGAGACCTCAAGCTCTCCTGCCTGACTTTGGGCCTCACAACCAGCAGCTCCTCATTTCTGACCGACTCCACCACAAAGACCGAGGCATCTTTCTCTCCATTGGCCACTGTCCTGCTGCTGCCTGGCAGACATGCTTCCTCCTCTTTGTCCGACTCGGAGAAAATACCTGAAGAGAACAATGAGTGGGAGGACAGAGCCATCCGTGTCCTTCAGGACTGTTTCACGTGTGACCGACCCTTTGATTGTGGTGTTCTCCTGCTCTGTGTAACAGCCTGTCTGTCAGGGTGGAGGGCAAAGCAGACCTTTCCTCCTGGGTACCCAGCAAGGTATTAACCATGAAATGTTCAAGACCAGGTTGGAGGGGGCTTTGAACAACCTGGTCTGGTGGGAGGTGTCCCTGCCCAGGGCAGGGGGGTTGGAATTAGATGATCTTTAAGGTCACTTCCAACTCTGACCATTCTATGATTCTATGAACCGTGGCCCTCAGAGAAGCTGTGCCAGCAGCTTGGTGTATGGAGGAGAGCAGAGGATAAAGGGGTGCTGAACCTCAACACCTCTACTGGCTTTGTCAAAGTGAGGGGAAGGAAAGTGTGGACTGGACTGCCAGGATGGGGCTCACAGGCAGGGGCGGCTCCAAGGCTGCTGCTCAACTAGGCAGGGAGTTTCTCCTAAAACAAGATTAATTCTCCCCTTTCCTGCAAGCAGTTGCTCTTACTTTGACATCCCGCTTGGTGGACAGAGCTGACATCCAAACATGGTGGTGAGGACAACAATGGAAGAGGAACTGTCTGCCGAGGTGTCTCAGAGACATCCTTTAGCTTCTCAGAGCTCCCTTCTGTGAAGAGAAAAGGGTTTATACGAGTTCCTTCACCCCTTAGATCCTCTCATCCTCCTGGGCTGGTCGATGGTGATACCTTCAAGCTCATTTCTCCAGCTTCCTCCTACACGGGAGAAGCTACTTTTCCTCTGTCCTTAAAGGAAAGGAGGGACAGAGAGACAGAGGGACAGAGAGGGCAAGGAAAGAGTGACAGAAGGAGAAAGGGAGAGACAGAAGGCAAAAGCTGAAAGACCTACCAGAAAACCCAGAGCAGCTCTGCTCAGAACATCCCCTCCTTGGCAGACTCCCACCAAGAGGTGCTCGTTAATTGAAGACTGAGCTTTGGGGTTAATTAGCTGGTGAGTCCCCTGCTGTCTGACCCTCTGAGGGAAGGGACCAAAAACCCAACCCCTACCCTCTGCCATGAAGAGTGGCCAACCTTCTGGCCAACGCAACTCATGGGAGAAGGCTAACTCACCTGCTCCCGGCAGCAGAGTGGACACGGAGGAAGGAGCCCTGGAGAGGCAAGGGGACCAGCATTACACCCAGAGGGGACAGGGCAGGGGAGGTGATGGGAAGCAGGAGAAGGCACTGCCCAGCACGGTGGACTTACCCGCCTTGGGGTGACCTCTCCGCAGGCAGAGCCAGGAAATCCCAGAGGAAGATGGCATCTCCAACGCTGATGACGTGCCGTTGGTCTGGGGTGAAGGCCACCTGGTGCACTGGCTCTGAGTGGCCGATGTACACCTGGGAGAGAGCACACCTTCAACTTCTCCATCACCACGGGGGTTACTCCACTCCCTGCCCTACGTAACCAGTGTCTACTCTCCTCGGCAGAAGGTACCCTCAGAAACCAGCATCACACCTACAGGTTAATCAACCTGGGGTTGACCTTCAACACAACGGTCTGGAGAAGCACGCAGAAGCTGAAAATCCCCAAGCTCTCAATGCCTTGGAAACCCTAGATGAGTCATTTTCTTCTCTAGGTGGCACAGGGGGAACACCCACCTCTGTCCTTCACCTCTGCGAGGTGCAACCCCGGTCTGTGCTCAGCGATGGGTGTTAGAACATGGAAACGGGGCTGTGTTTCTCAGCCACTGGGCAAACTGGGACTGGGGCCAAGTCCCACAGAGGGTATTTTGCTGCTCTCTTCTCCAGGGATTCAGATACGCCAACCCCCTCCCCTCCCTTTGGGGGCAGTACCTGGAAGTTGACATCGAAGCGCATCCCGTAGTCCCACACTTTGATAACTCTGTCGCCAGCAGTGAGCAGGTACCGGCCATCCTTGCTCAGCGCCAAGGAAGAGCAGGACACCTTGTGCACGGGAGACACCTGAGGGCAAGAAACAGCACCAGCAGCATTAGCTGAGCTGGTTCGTGTCCTTCCTTAAGCTTCAGCACGTGGGCAAGAGTGTGACAGCATGGAAAAGAAGGACAAGCTCAGCACGACCACAGCAGGGTAGCTACACGCCTGCCACCCGTGGTTCTTTGAGGCCTGTGGACTCCAGGATGAGTTCTTCTCTCATTTAGCCTCCTACAGCGACGTGGAGTGCCAAAGCCCCACACGACACGAGATCTCGGTGCAGGAACTTCACAGTGTCCTACCTCTCGCACCAGCCGTCCCGTTTTGGCATCGAGCACAAGGATTTTGTTGGAGGAAGTGGACACCAGGAGCTCGCCCCGAGGCACCGGAGCAAAGCAGACCCTCAGTGCCGAGTCCAAGGCCGTGCTGTTCAAATCGAGGATGCTGATGTCCACCCTCAGCAGCTGTGAAGAAACAAGGAGCTACTGAACAAACGTCCTGGAGAAACATACTGCAGAAACCTAAGGATTGCTCTCATGGCTCTCCCAACATGAGGTTCAGTGCTCCCCTCCCAAATTTTCCCTTCCCAGTTCGGAGAAGGGAAGGGTCTAGGGGGCTGCAAGGTCCAGGCAATGTCCCTACTGCCCAGGAGAGCAGCTCACAAGGAGGAGTTGGAGCTGACAAAGCTCTCCAAATTATCTTTCTAGAGGGAAATGAAGCTGGAGAAGAAGAAAAACCTTGACTTTTCTGTTTCCATCTCACAGAATGGAAAACAAGCCTCATTGTAAGCACCCTGAGCAAGAATCTGCTGTGCAGGGAAGGGCCCTCTCCAACACTGCTGGTGCCCAAGGCCCTTGGTCTGTCTCATCTGATGGAGCCTACAGGAATCTCCCCTGTGGCATGTCCTCCCCTCACCACCCTCCCCCAGGAAGGTGGGTACCTCATCTAGAGAGCAGGCCTCCATCACGGTCACAACGTACTTGGAGGGACCCACGAAGGCCAGGAGACGGCTGTCCCCGCTGACCACCAAAGCATCCGGACCACTCCCAGCATCCCGGGCCACCACGTTGCCTGAGGGTCACAGCAAAAGAGAGAGTGAAGAGAGGAGCAAAGCCCACGCTGCAGCCAGCTCGCTCTGCAGCTTCTCCTGCCTCCCAATCAGCCCTGGGCTAACATTCTGGCCTGAGAAAGAAGCAACCTCTGACGTAGAAGATGCTACAAATTGGATCTGCAACCCCCAAAGGGTGCGGGGAACCACCTCAAAGACAAGGTCTAGATACACAGCTCGTCCCCTGACTGAACGGGTCGTGCTTTCAAGGAGAGAATAAGTCTTATGAGGAGAGGCTGAGGGAACTGGGTTATTCAGCCTGGAGAAGAGGAGGCTGAGGGGAGACCTTATTGCTCTCTCCAACTCCCTGAAAGGAGGGTGTAGAGAGGTGGGGGTCGGTCTCTTCTCCCAAGTCACAGGCGACAGGACGAGAGGAAATGGCCTCAAGTTGCCCCAGGGGAGGTTCAGGCTGGATATTAGGAAAA